CCCCAAAACCCCAAAACCCCAAAACCCCAAAACCCCAAAACCCCTAAAAATTACTCAAAACTGGATAATAAAATAAAAATAATATCGAAACGATGGCCGATCCTCTGACAGAAAATGAGCGAACCAGAAGGGCTAGAGACCTGCTTAAGGTGTACGATGAAACCTTCACCCACTTCAAGATAAGAGTTAAAAATGAGATTGATAAGATTAATAAACATTACAGCTTATGTGACACTGAAGAAAGAACCTCTTCAGCTAACACAAAGCCTGCATTATAAGTCAGAGGTTTACAGTGAAGAGTAAAGGGAGTAAGATTTCATAGATGATAGGTGTACAATACCATAGAAGGATGATTGAGCCAAGATTTTGAAATGTGATTTTTATTATGTAAATTTCAAAATCATTCACTAGAATTATCCATCCTAGATTTTGATTAAATTGATTTTAATTAGACTTATTAAGCTTGAGTTGTACTTTATGTGAAATAAATTTGTAAATTATGTTAAATATAACTGATTGTTACATTTTAGCACGATTAAACACTTCTATTCCTCCACATAAGGAAAAGGATGCTAAATCAAAGACTAAGAGTAGAAATGCACTACTTTCCTTTAACGGAGAAGTGGGCTCAATAATTTGAGAAGATAATTACAGTGAGGTGTGAGAAGATTTATTTACATATAAAGGTAAATTTTAATTTCAACTAATTTGGTTTTGTACTTCGAGAAAATTTGTATTTTATAATTTTCTTGGTTATCCAAAACCTCAAAATATAAATAAAAAATTCTCTCGATATTTTACATCCGAAATGCCCTAAAAATTCCACCCAATTCTAACTCCCATCACTTTCATAACCTAGCCACTCAAAGCCAAATGACTAAGAATGAACAGCGGTACATTCTCGAACTAGGTAAGCTCGGGGCTCACTCTCCAGAAAAAGCAAGAGAAAGATTAAATGATCCCAATAATCAACTCCCCATTGAAGGTAAGGCCTCTTCAACATCATCTAGTAGATCAAACTGAAAAAGACAGAATAGTTGAACAGTTGAAGCTTCAGGCTCTCTGTAATGATAACAAAGCTTTCCAAAAGTACAAGAAAGGCACTCTCTTTGATGACAAAGTAAACAGTGCGTTCAACAGTATATTTAGGTTAATATCATGGAGCTTGTTAGGAAAGGCAAAGCTGAAGATAGGTTTAAATAGAAGGAATGATTCGGTGGTTGATGAGATAAGTAATGTCCAAGCTGAACCTAAAAAGAAGGAATCGGTCAATATGTTTAGGAATACGATGGAGAAGTTTCAGAATTTAGGAAACGTGCAGACTCATAGAAAATTTGACAGCGATAAATCAGAATTTTTAGAACCCCATACTATTAAAGTTTTACCCCCTAGTACTCCGAGAAAGATATAAACTTAAAGAAAGGACTTTCATTAATGAATCAAACGTAGAATTATCTTTTGATATTATAGACTGAATTCCAAATTTTCTAACTATTCTAAGAATCATAGGCGGATGCAAGACAAGCTTAATTCCACCTTGAATACCTCCAGATGGAAGGGACTATCAAGAGGTTCAAAGAATAGGAACTCTCTGGTAACACAAAGACGTTTTGAAAATACCGATACCACTCGAAACAGAAGCAGCTTTTTGATTACTGAAGAAACATTAAACAATGCCAAACACAGAAAATAATACCAAAAGACTCAGCAAAAAAAGTAAATTGAACAAGAAAAGCTTGCAATAAAAACTCCTAAATTCTCAATGCTAAAGCAAAAGATATTCAATCGTAAATCATCACTAGGAAGAGATAACACCCCGCTGAAGATAACTGAAGAAAATAAAAGATTTTCTCTTCCTCCCCCTCCCAAAGCTTCCGATCCTGATATCCAATTGATTTGCAAGAAATTTTCAACTAGGCTATCAGACAAGAACAAAAAGGCAATCCGTCAAAAACTACTAGAAGCCAAAAAGTCTTTATACAAAGTAAGCCTTCTCCACCCCTTACTCCTCACACATCACCTCTCACCTTCACCCCACCCTCATTCCTCAACCCACAACCTTTCCATACAGATCATAAAACAATGCTTCCAATACCACCAAGAAGACGACATAAACTTCACCTCAAAATACAACTACCGGCTCTTCTTAGAGCACTACTATCAGAAGAAGTTCGCAGAGATGGTTGAGACAAGTACGTTTGAGTGGTGATTTATAGTTAAATAAAATGGAGAATACATGTAGGATAGTTGAGAACTTGCTTTAAGTGGTTGGCTATAGCAATCGGAATGGGGATAGGTCTCTTTAGAATTTTAGCTCCTGGGGAGATGTAGGGGGTTAAAGGTTTAGTAAATAAATGGATTTTTCTAGAGGGGATTGGTGTAGAGCTGTAGTTGGGTTTTAAGGTATTTATTAGAAGTTTTAATTTGTTGGAGGTGGATTGATATTACTAGTAAATGGGTTGGTTTGATAGGGATTATTATGGTTTATAGATCCAAAGTTGGCTAAAAGATATTTTGATTACTCCTTTTTGCAGGAGAATGAGAGTTTAGTTCAAGCAAATGAGATCATAAAGGAGTATAAATCTGGATTAGCAGATCCTTGTAGATACGTAGCCTATCACGAGAGGACCCTCTCCACAAAGGCAGGAAGACTCAACAAAAGAAGGCAGTAAATTTCAATTTTAATAAAATTCCTTGGGGTTTTGGGGTTTTGGGGTTTTGGGGA